GACATATTCTTAAGTAAGACTTACTGGGACAATATTTTGAAATTATGGGCTCCTCTTGCAAAATGCTTCACAGGAAGTTTGTAAGCAGTTTATTCTACCATCGACAGACCATCACGTGCAGTTTGGTCTATATATGAGGAGGGACATATTTATCTATAAGGACATTATTTCTTCTTGGTCTTCCTCTGGATTTTAATTATAGAATAATTTGTTGAGGTTATCATTGGGTGTTGAATTTATATTCATTTATCCTTAATTTTCCTTATATAGAACTTGTATAAAAGGGAGGAGGAGAACCAGGTGTGGTGGTCCATGCCCAGCAACAAGAAGCCAAAGTAGGAAGCCCACAAGGGAGTCCTGCCTGGGCAACATAAGGAGATGTCTTCTCCAACACCAAAAAGGACAATGTGAAGGCCCTGGGTTAAAACAAACAAATAAGATTTGTTAAAATAACAAAACTCTACCATCAACGCATTTAAATTAAAGGGTAAATGACAAACCAGAAAAAATTGCATCATCATCTTTAACAAGATATAAGGCTATCAAGTGGAGAAGTGTTTTTGCTAGAAATTCACTGTGTTGGTCTACTCTGTATTTTGTTTTGCCACCCCCTCACTTAGAATTCTGCACACGTGTGCCCTGGCCCTCAGTCAGCTACATCAACTGTTCAGTATTAACCTCGACACCTGCAGCCTCACCCACCCACACTTACGATTCTGCGTTACGTCAAACCTCACTCTTACACACCCATATGAAGCCTCATCTATAACCCCACACACCCACTATTCCACCTTACCACCCATATCTACTCTCATCTATGATCCTGCATACACATAATCAACACACACCTCACTCGCACACACCCTCCATCTCACCTACACACCTGCATCCACCCGCGTCCATTCCTGAAACTACCCAGCAGTTTAATGCCACATTTTAGAAACTTTCATAAATCTTACTTTAAATAACAACGTTGTCATACTTCTGAAAAATACAGTTTCTTATTACTTAATGTAGTTGAATGAGTGTTTTCTGTCATTTGCTGCATAGAAACACCTTCCCTAAAAAAACACAAAAGACTTTTAAAGCATGATTTGTATTCTTTAAGTATCCTAGAAAGTAAATTATATACCTATTTAAACAGTAACCTGACATTAGATCCCAGAGAAAGTTAAGAGTAAGGATTACTTTGTTTAAAAAGAGGACATTCTCTTTTATTTTTAAATTTTATTGGTACATTTTAGATACACATAATGATCACATTCATCACAGGGAATTTGTACCTGTGCATCACTGATGGGCCTCTGGGCTGTTTCCAAGATTTGG